AAAATCACGGACATATCGTCTTATCTAGATGTTGCATGATCAAACTTCAATATCAATTTAATTAATATGAGGAAATACATACGGTGTGCTAAACATGATATCCACTGCACTGTACAGCTGTGTCGTCCTTCTAGCACTTATTGGTGATGCTAGTCGCGAAAAGGTGGAACATCAATTTGAGTATCAGGAAGAATTCCCGAGTGTGAAGGCATGTTATCTACCCTACAGTGTATATTATACCTGCAACTGATTAATAACTTTAATATGGTAGTTTGGATTCATATTTGCGTATGACAAAACTCCAATTTAAAACAGAAGGAAATGTGCATATATTCACTCAAATATGTAAACTTTGCAGTTTAAGGAGTACTTATTAATCTCTATTTAAGAATGAAAAAAGTGTTTATAGTGAATCCTGCTACTACTCAAAACAGACAAAACTGGCTATCAGAGTTACGGCAAACCCCGCGGACTAGAAATCCATCAGCAGAGTCTACCATCTTGCATCTTGCAAGATGAATGAAAAAGAGACACACGTGATAGTATAATTACATTTTAGAAATGTACTTCACTGTTGAAATGTGACCACAGGCAATTAAATTCAAGCAAACATTCTTCCGAATATGCAATCTGTTAAAAATTATGTTACATTCTTTCGTAACTCCGTTAAAAGTTAACGAAGCCAGGTAACTGACGAGTTTAATCATAATGGCAAATGTACTGCATCTAACAAACGGAGATTGTAGTGTTAACTCAATGATGAATGTCATATATATACTTTATATATATCAGATAATGATGAATGTCATTTATATACTTTATATATATCAGATAATGATGAATGTCATTTATATACTTTATATATATCAGATACCTCTGTTAAGCAAACAGATGTCAATTGTTTAGTATTGTAATTAAACATATCTTGGGCTATGTGTCTTAATGTTTTGATTAAAGAAGAGTTAATAGAAAACCGGAAATTGATTCTTGTAATATAACCAATGACATTTATCGTTAAAAATGAAAGTAAAAAAACCGGTTACGCTTCTTATCAAAATATCTAAAAAGCGCAAATGTGGAAAACCCGATATTAGAATGATATGAATTAAAACGAAAGTAGGAATCGGACACCTATTGCAGAGGCTATAAATATATAGATTGGTTAGGAACCCCAACATTATATATTTAGAGATTATTTAAAGAGGAAACCCCAATTTGAACGGCATATCTGGTGTATGGTATTATAGAAATGAAGTTTGATACTTGAATCAACCGACACACACAAGGTAAGACGTACACTAACAAGCTTTTATCTTTTAAATATGATAAATATACTAGCAGCAACATTTATTAATATTTTAAAGAACATCGTTTGATTGCTAACAGGATATCACCAAGGTATTATTTATTGACGTTAATTAATAAGTAAATCAAAATACGTTGTTTAGATCAACATTATTTGACGAACTATATGGCTACACTTTGGACACAATACTGAAATACTGTGTTAAGATGAATAATAAGGCATATACTATCTAGCGATACAAAGCTATTAACAATGTAGCTGAAAATGAAATTCTGCGTTTTAGTGGGTACTTGTTACCCACAAATTCATGTACCCACGAAGAAAAAAAATAGTTTAAGGGAAACCAAGAAATTTGGGCCCCACGAACATATCTGATTTCACAATATGTATTTAAGATATAAAGCGTCACATCAAAATTAATTTCTTTATTTTCTATTTTATAAAACAGGATATGCCATGTTTAAATTGACCATGTAATGATTTTGTTAAAGATGTGTTTAATTTAGTTTTCTGATAGCAACTACATGGTAATAGCTTTTCTAGAAGAAAATAACACAAACATAAAAGCGCACAGAAATCCTTTCATGAGGTTTAGTACTTAAAACATACATTAAATTAACAGGAACTATTACACAGTTATTATTACTATATTGTATGTTAGTTAACAGCATGCAAAACGAAAGTACTCGGGTAATCCGCAAATATATAAACTTACACCAATTGTGACTACAGAAACATGTCGATATAGTTGCCCTAGTTTTATTTTGTCACCTCGCATACCACCAATATATTCCTTTTTGTATATTTCTTCAGAATTCTTTAGGTGTTTTTCTTAATTATCGTTAAATCTTTTTATAACGCCTACATTTCTATGTGTAAATGGTGGCAGTATAATGAGGATAAACAGTAAACGAAGAAGGTTAAAGTTCATGTTGACATATTATGAGGTTAACATATCGGATGTAATGCAAGCTTTGTCCAATAGCAGTGAATGAGATACAGTTAGTATAATGACAAGGAAGACTAGCATGTCCAGACCTATAAGTATAGTCTCATTAGCTTTGATATATACTATACGCTAGGTCAATTATCACGATTAATCCTGTAAACCGTATAATATACACTTTTGATAAAACGAGTGAAAATAACCAGTTATAATAATGCTAATGTTACAATGATATATTTTTGATTGGATAAACGGATAAGTGTTCTATAAATATCAAAATGAACACTGTCTGATAATGAAGGTACGTGTGACTCTTTTTACATTTGCTAAAGATAAACAGATATAATTTTTATCAAACAGGAAGAGTTGTCGATAAACGACAATACGATGACGATAATGATAATGACATAAACCGGTACAGAAGATCTTTGTTAACAGTATCAATAGTAATGCCGTATGAGATATACCAGGATGGTATAGATAACAAGTGCTAATTTGTTTCAACACAAACAGGAATTGAAATTTTATTTTGCGAGCTTTCGAAAACGTCATTTTCCTTTCTCAAGCAAAGATTGTAAATGACCGGTGTCTCGAATCTGAACCGGTGAAAATAACTTACTAAACAGCAATGTGCCGAGTCAGTACAGTCATCTGTCAGAAAATATCGAAACATTTCGTGAAATAACATTGTGATACTGCTGGCAGTCAGGTGACGGGTAAAAATCATTTATCAATAAAGATTATTATTCATATAGCAGACTATGACGTCAGGTTGTCCCCTAGTTGTGCTTGATATCTACAAAATATACAAAAGTACACTCATACCGTATGCCTTGTCGTGTTGATGACTACGTATTCGAATCGGTTGATTACATTATGTTTTTGGTATGCCCACCTGTTCACTGTTTGTGTGGTGTAGGGACAGTAAAGTACAGGACGTCTTACGTTAGTAAGGTCAAGGCAGGAAAGTCATATATTTTCATACATACATATAAATCCAAACTAACATATTAAAATTATCGGCCAGTTCCAGGTATTGTACAATATACACTGTAGGGTAGATAACATGCCTGCACACTCGGGAATTCTTCCTAAAAGTAATCTTCTAGGAATTTGTGAAGAATTAAACAACGTCAAGTATACTCTTATATATTTTATATACAAAGCGAAAACAAATGGAATTACCTTGTATTCACTAGTTTATCATTTGAAAAAACGAAACTAGATCAGACGTTCCATTTTGTCAACTTGGTGCGAAGGTAATATTTATTCATCCATCCGAATTTGTCAATATTTATTGAGCACCAACTGTTATTGACTTGTGGCATAAGAGGACGAGTGATTGTTGATTATATTTCTCCCACAAGTGCTATAGGTTTCTTTACTTCGGATTTGCCATGTTTATTAATTTAGTTTTTCTGATAGCAACTACATTGGTAATAGCTTTTCTAGAAGAAAATAATACAAATATAAAAGCGCACAGAAATCATTTCATGATGATTTATTACTTAAAACATACATAAAATTAACAGGAACTATTACACAGTTAGTATTACTATATTGGATATTAGTGGACAACATGCAAAACGAAAGTACTCGGGAAATCCACAAATATATAAACTAACACAAATTGTAACAACAGAAACAAGTCGATATAGTTACCCTTGTTTTATAATGTTACCTCGAATACCGCCAATATATTCCTTTTTGTATATTTCTTCAGAATATTTTCAGGTTTTTTTCTGATTTATCGTTAAATCTCTTATAACGCCTCATTTCCTATGTTTAAATGGTGGCAGTATAATGAGGAATTTACAGTAAATAAAGAAAGTGAAAGTTCATGTTGACATATTATGAGGTTAACATATCGTATGTAATGCAAGATTTGTCCAATAGCAGTGAATGAGATACAGTTAGTATAATGACAAGGAAGACTAGCATGCCCAGACCTTTAAGTACAGTCTCATTTGCTTTGATATATACTATACCCTAGGTCAATTATCACGATTAATCCTGTAAACCGTTTAATATACACTTTTGATAAAACGAGTGAAAATAACCAGTTATAATAATGCTAATGTTACAATGATATATTTTTGATTGGATAAACGGATAAGTGTTCTATAAATATCAAAATGAACACTGTCTGATAATGAAGGTACGTGTGACTCTTTTTACATTTGCTAAAGATAAACAGATATAATTTTTATCAAACAGGAAGAGTTGTCGATAAACGACAATACGATGACGATAATGATAATGACATAAACCGGTACAGAAGATCTTTGTTAACAGTATCAATAGTAATGCCGTATGAGATATACCAGGATGGTATAGATAACAAGTGCTAATTTGTTTCAACACAAACAGGAATTGAAATTTTATTTTGCGAGCTTTCGAAAACGTCATTTTCCTTTCTCAAGCAAAGATTGTAAATGACCGGTGTCTCGAATCTGAACCGGTGAAAATAACTTACTAAACAGCAATGTGCCGAGTCAGTACAGTCATCTGTCAGAAAATATCGAAACATTTCGTGAAATAACATTGTGATACTGCTGGCAGTCAGGTGACGGGTAAAAATCATTTATCAATAAAGATTATTATTCATATAGCAGACTGTGACGTCAGGTTGTCCTTAGTTGTGCTTGTTATCTACAAAACATACAAAAGTACAATCATACCGTATGACTTGTCGTGTTGATGACTACGTATTCGAATCGGTTGATTACATTATATTTTTGGTATGCCCACCTGTTCACTGTTTGTGTGGTGTAGGGACAGTAAAGTACAGGACGTCTTACGTTAGTAAGGTCATTGCAGGAAGGCATATACTTTCATACATACATATAAATCCAAACTAACATATTAAAATTATCGGCCAGTTCCAGGTATCGTACAATATACACTGTAGGGTAGATAACATGCCTACACACTCGGGAATTCTTCCTAATAATGATCTTCTAGGAATTTGTGAAGAATTAAACAACGTCAAGTATACTCTTATATATTTTATATACAAAGCGAAAACAAATGGAATTACCTTGTATTCACTAGTTTATCATTTGAAAAAACGAAAGTAGATCTGGCGTTCCATTTTGTCAACTTGGTGAGAAGGTAATATTTATTTATCCATCCGAAATCTGTCAATAGTTATTGAGCACAAACTGTAATGTACTAGTGGCATAATAAGACGAGCGATTGCTGATTGTATTTCTCCCACAAGCGCTATAGGTTTCTTTACTTCGGACTTCTTTGATAAACCTGATAGAGTTGGTTGAATCGTTTAGTTACCCACAAGTGAGAAACACCTTGACTGTTATTGTATGGGTGAATCTTTAAATTATGACGTCAATATCAAAGTTTTACTTTATAGACAAACAATGTACATATTAAAAGTGTCGTAACGTTAAAGACCGACTTCAAGCTATGACTGAGTGAGCGATTTGTACTATTTACCTGTACAACAATATTTTCCATGTCACGCGAGACGTTTCTTCTATCCTATCGATAGGTCTTAAACACGTTTAATACGTACATTGTTTGTGTAGAAAGTAAAACTGTATTTCCAAACTGATGAATATTATTGAAGATATGACGTTATAAGCTTGTTTTCAAACTGTAATCGACATTCAGTAAACCTCGTGTCTTCATTCAAATTAAAAATTAATAACTCGAGATAGATAAACATGATAACAATTCACTCCCTCCAATCGCGGTATGTGTTAGACGCTTAAATATCTTATCTTTTTAAAACCTTTATATTTTTGTTTTAGAAAATGGCATCGCCTTTACCCGAGTACACGGGTAAGGATTTGATACAAAGTGTACATGACAAAGATGTGGTGAAGCTTGCTGCTGTGGTAAACAGTGGTATCAGTGTGACTTACAGGACAAAACGTGGCACTTCGGTGTTGCACGTCGCAGCAATGCTTAGAGATAAAGAAATGATGCTTCATCTTTTAAAAAAGTATCCCCTTTGCATAGAAATTGGCAAAAAGCTTGATAAACAAAAGGGGTACAATGCTATGCATCACTGGTGTGCAAATGAAGGAGACAGTGAAGTCTTTGACCAGTTAACACGTGCAGGATTTGACTGTAAAGACACAACGTCTGCTGGTCAAACATCATTGGATTTAGCCAAGAACACAAAAACCGATGTTTTGGTGAAGCATATAGAGAGCGTCTTGAAAGGTAAATATATACAAAACGTCGCTTCCGGTTTAAAGATGAACTCACTACACTTATCACTTAAAGAGTTATCAACAGCGTTATATTTCTCTAATCCATCTTCATCACTACAATACAATTAACTTTGAACATAAGCTTCCTAGATGAACGTTGCACACACCTATGCACATATATCTGTTTTTCATTAGATACGGTGTTCCATGAATGAATTATGCTGCACCCTACAGCTGTTTAGTCTTTCTCGAACTCATCGGTGACGCTGTGACCAAAACGATTGAATTCAATTATTGTCCATACTACTGTTGAATCAAAAAGGGAGGTACGTCATATCAGAGAAAATGGCAAATATTTAATATGAAAATAGATCATAGTTTGGGGACACACGTCATTTTAACTTCTATACCCAATCACAATCATGATCATATCTTAATAATTCTATACCTTTAACTACTTCGTGTAACAGCAGCAGGGTATGAACAGGGGGCATTAATGACTTGCATGAAATTAAAAATTAAATTGTAGCTATTTCTCTGTTTAATATATCATTAGGGCATTGCTTGCCTATTACTACATAATTACGGTTTATTTTTTAATAAGAGCATTGTATTGCTCAAAATTTCAATTAAGTATTTGTATGTAATTGAAACATAAATGGATTTATCTCCCCTATACCATCTGTAATACATAGACTGGGGATTTATGCATCAATTTTTCTTACTAACCGTTTCATCTTTGTCTTTGTCATGTCAACCTAAGTAGAGAACTTATATTAGTCTATCCTGCTGTTCAATCCTATTGTTTACTCAATAAAATATGATGAAATGAAAATGAAATCATATCTTAATGGTATAATTGAAATAATATGTTGCTCTGTATTTCAAAATGCTAATCTCAAAATTGTCCGCTGATATTTTGTCATGTTAAGGAGAACATTGTTATCTTGGTGTGTTTGCACGGAAAGCAATGTGTTTTTTGTTGTTGTTGGTAAATATTTACCCTCATTAAATTATTCACACTAAATTGTATCTTGATTTTAACACAATAGTATCAAATAATTAGTGTAAAATTCTATTTAAGGTAACGCTAACGAGAGTTGAGTTCTGTTTCAAAATGATGTGAGGACTCTCATTTATATTTCTAAAATCTTCTATCCATACTTTTGCAGATCCGTCCATTGGTGATTTCTCGACTTGGACCGAGTTACATGAATGTGCAATAGATGGAGAAGCATTAACATGTTTAAATCTGATTGAAAACAATAACGGTGCGGACGTAATGAAATGTGCTACCTGTCCAAGGACAAATATTAAGATAGAACTTCCACCTTCTCTTACACCACTGGAAGTAGCAGTATATTTTGACAATTGTGCAGTTCTGAGACCGTTGGTGATGTATACAGAATATCACATCATTCAGAAATGTCTGAAAATTGTGAAAATTTCCACAAAAGCCAAGCAATGCCTACTTAGAGAAATTTGTAGTAAATTGCGTAAGGAGTATAAGGAGGATTGTGTAGTATTTGGGAAAATATGTGGAGAAGGAGAAGAAAACAAAGGAAAGGTGTGTGTCGTCTTCAGCAAAACAAAGACACATGGGAAAGAGACAAAAAAAGCAGGTTATAGAATTTTGTTTCGTAACCCTTCCATTTGCGAGAAAGATGGAAGAGACGAGGGAAGAGAAGTTTTGCAACATTGTCACAGGCGCAACTACCTGTTATCAGACACTGATAAAACGCGAATAGACAAAGCCATAAATAGTAAATGTGACCATTTGTGGGCCAAGCATTCCAACATCAGAGGGTTCATATCATCACCAGTCAAATGTAGTAAAGGAAAGTTCATAGAGACACCCTGCGTGGTCATACTTTGCCTATTCAAATCCTTCATACCCGAAAATGAGTCTCGATTTCCAGACGTCCTAAATGTGGACGATGAGGTCGTTCCAGTCGATGTCCGGGAAGGATGCTTCAACTTGGTGGGATGTGACAATCCTTTGGCGACCCATGTGCGTTTAAATATGGGTTGTAACATTGGAACAAACGATGAAACGTCACGGTTCGGAACCTTGGGACCATTTGTTGATATAGAAGGTAAACTTGCTTTCCTAACGTGTGCACATGTCATGTTCTCACTACAAGAATGTCTCAAAAAGGCAGGTGTGCAAGATCAATCTAGAGGAACACAACTTGATTTTACCCAACATGGGGGGACAAGACGCGAGGATAGGGAACACGATCAGCAATGTGATCCTCATGAATCTGAATCAACTAAACGTTTGGCATTGCAGCCCGCAAGCAGTTCATCTGGTGTATCATCAGGCAAAGATGATCGCGAGTGCGGACAAGTGAAAAAGTGGGATTACGCAATTGACCAGGAAACATCAATCGACATAGCTGTTGTCGAAATAACCAAGCAAGACAGAATACCTCTTTCAGGTCGATTCACTGTGTATGATATGAAACAACTAAAGATGAGTGGCAAGTATTATTGAAAGTTTATAACCTACTTATTGAATTGTCATGATTATAATAATGTATCTAAATGTAAGTGATGTTTTTTAAATTAATTTTACTATACATTATTCATTTTTAAAAAGCTTTCAAAAGTATTTTATTCATTATGCTCATATAATCTTATGTACTATATGGTAGGTTATGCCAACGATGAGCCTACATTCGATACCGGTAAGGTAGGACAGCCAACATATGTTGAAGGTGAAAGGGAACAAGCAGTACCTGCAGCCACTGAAGACGGACCACCAAAACCAGATGGAAGAGGAGAACATATACCTGATCCGAGAAACAACATTATCCTTTTTGGAAGTTCATCAGGTCTGACAAACGGTAAATATAGAAACAGCTCAAAAGTTCAGTTCACAACAAAACTGTGTGGAACGACCAATGCACATGAAAGATACCGCGGCTTGTATTATATAGACAATAGCCAATGTGAGGAAACGCACTGCAAACTTCCTCCTCTAGCCCTCTTTGGCGATTCTGGCGCAGGAGTCTACCAGCGAATGGACGACAACTCTCTGGTCTGTATCGGGGTGTTAGTAGCGGTGGATAATACAGGCTCTGCTCTCGTCATTCCTATTGATCCGATTCTGAAACATTTCGATGTGAAGCTCAAAGTTTTCTAAACGTCTCAATCACACTATGATATCGAGAATCTCAATATAACATTTAAACTCATATATCACAAATTCATTGTTTAAGGTAAATGGTACCAGGAAGTTTATTGCAACGTGATTTTTATGGAAAACTTCTTTTGAAGAGGACTTAACATGTATTTCACTATACTGACAATGGTAATAATATATTATCATGTTATATTATTATGCGAACTACATGTTAAGTCCTCTTCAAAAGAAGTTTTCCATAAAAATCACATATTGCAATACATTTTACGGAATTGTAGGTGTTCATTATTTGAACAATCGAAAAGTTTACCAAAGAGAGAACTGTACTGGTCATTTACATGGCTAAGCCTGCACTTAATGAATGTTGCCATACAGGAATCATTCAAGGACGGCATCAAAATGAGTGTTCAATTTATGAACCACACGAACCTTACACGGGAAGTCACTCTAAGCCAGAAAGGCTCAATTTGGTTGTTTGCTTCATTTTCTATATAGAAGGGAGCATACTCAAAGTCAGAAATACTCTGAACGGAACTTGACTTTGCGATTATACCTTATGCAGTGGTACCATTTACGTTAAATGATTTAGAATATTTTCTGTTTCAATTTCATTATCCTAGGTATGCATTGACATTACAAAGTGTCTATTTTAATACATGCAATATATATAAAATTGAGAGGGCGTGGTTTTAATGTATTCTGTTACATCGGATTATTTTAACAATTGATCGTTAATCAACATTCCTGTAGCACTCTATATCATTTTATAGAAAATAACAAAGGGGGCAGAATATTTGAAGCTTGATTCCAATTTAGGTTAAAAACAATCTGAAGATATGGTATCCTATGACTTGATTCCATGTAGTTCTTTTGAGGGAGTGTGTGGAGGAGAATGTTTGTTTCCCACGGCTTAGTTTTGTGTAATAACAATTAAATTGATTTCTATTCAACATTCCTGTGCAGATTCAGGAAATGATTGGGGTACTGTTTCCTACTGCCTCGTCGTACGTGGCGACTATTGAGACCATTGGAGATTCGGAGATTTTGTTTTGTGTCGTCTGCTTATGGGATTTTATGGGATATTATATAATATGGGAGAAACGAAACTTGACCTGCTCACTGTTACTGTCTCCCTGGTTACGCGTCCATGTCAGAATAATGCCAGTGTGTAAAGTATCGAGCTACTGTCTCCCTGGTTACCAATCGATGTCAGATTAATGCCAATGTGTAACGTATCGCGCTACTGTTTCCCTGGTTACCCATCTATGTCAGAATAATGCCAATGTGTAAAGTATCACGCTACTGTCTTCCTGGCTATTAATCGATGTCAGAAGAACGCCAATGTGTAAAGTATCACGCATCTGTCTCCCTGGTAACCTCTCTATGTCACAATGATGCCACTGTTTAAAGTGCCATGCTACTGTTTCCCTAGTTACCCATCTCTGTCATAATAATGCCACTGTTTAAAGTGCCATACTACTGTCTCCCTGGTTACCAATCTGTCAGAATAATGCCACTGTGTAACGTATCACGCTACTGTCTCCCTGGTTAACCGTCTATGTCAGAATAATGCCAATGTGTAAAGTATCGAGCTACTGTCGCCCTGGTTACCAATCTATGTCAGATTAATGTCAATGTGTAACGTATCGCGCTACTGTTTCCCTGGTTACCCATCTATGTCAGAATAATGCCAATGTGTAAAGTATCACGCTACTGTCTTCCTGGCTATTAATCGATGTCAGAAGAATGCCAATGTGTAAAGTATCACGCATCTGTCTCCCTGGTAAAATTATCTATGTCACAATGATGCCACTGTTTAAAGTGCCATGCTACTGTTTCCCTGGTTACCCATCTCTGTCAGAATAATGCCACTGTTTAAAGTGCCATACTACTGCTTCCTTAGTTACCAATCTATGTCAGAATAATGCCACTGTATTATGTGACAGTTGAGAGATAGACTTACATTTGTTAGATATCAACATTATTTATTTTACAACAGTCATGAAAATAAAAACGTTTACAATTTATACTTATTACTCTTGTTGGCCTGAACATAAGTGCATTGGGGTCTTACTGTTGTGGGAAACCGGAGTACCCGGAAAAACCCACGTGGTCAGGCAGGTGACCTCATACCTTTTCACGTCCGATCGTGGAATCGAACCCCGGCTGCCTTGGTGAAAGGGAAGTGTTACATGACCTTAGCTTTTGCGAGGCTGTAAAGTCATAAAAAATAAACAATACATCTTATTCAGCAAGATTTAGCTATAATCGTGTGTGGAACGTGTTGTATTTATTGTAGTAGGAAATATATAAGTCTGTTAATTCCTGCATATAATTATAGCAATACCATTTTAGTATACATGTATGTTAATATAATCCTCGAATATACTTTAGGTATTTCTTAAAATCTGTTCCTTGGTAAGCACCCATAGAACATTTAATCTTCTTCATAATGTGGTAATTACTCCATGTAACTCGTAAGTATATATGAGTTATGTCCCTTTACTCTAGACGCCGGTGTGCTGAAGTATGTCAGTGATACAATATGAAAAAATATTGCAATATCTGTGATTATTATTTAAAAATGATCTTTCTGCGTTTATAATCGTAGTTGCAGCTTGTCTATGTTACTGAATTTTACTATAAATCATTTATGGTACAATAAAAAACTTGATGTTAAGTGTAGATAACTATAGCTGTCATAATGAGGAATTATCACGATTGGCAATTGCTGGGACCTCTCCAGAGTGCTGTCCTTTCCTATGAAGATCTAGAGTTAGGAAACAAATTCATTTACGGTATACCGAAGTGAAACGTTATCCTCATCGCTTTGTGGAAGGTAATGCACGTTAACATAAATGACCACTGGTTACATGTCATATATACACATATATATGCATACGTATGTAACTAAGAAACGTGGATTATATAAAATACTGACGTCATCTAAAGGAGTTTGGTCGTGAGTTCACATATATACTGATGTGCCCGGATGTTGGACGTGACGAAAAGTCACGTGACACTGCTGTTTGAGGTCGTACGTTATATGCTTTTAGGTAATCTTTTTCTAGTAAAGGACATTTTTTTGTTGTAAATGATGTTGCAACAGGGGCAGTGATACCATGTTGGAAATGTATACTAGCAAACGGGTTCTCGTCCATGCCTGTGGTATAATCCTTCGACTGGACTCTATTTGCTTTTTTGATTGCAAATAATTTGCAAATGCCGGCAGTGATAAGTCCAAAAGCAACAACAGCCACCACTGATCCAATTATGATATTGCGGAACGATTGACTTTCTTCTTCACCCTAAAAATCAAGAAACAAATACATTATTACTATTTATGCACACAGTAGACGAAGTGCTGGAAATCATGATTATCATACTATATTATATTATCAGAAATTGATTAAAACTTTATTATATATCGTCATGTGATATAAAGGCAAATATATTGACCAATACGAACGATGATTTTATTTTCTACAACCAGCTGCAGATGAGCGAGGGTAATTAACTTTTTGTTTATGATTGTCTTTGGTTCACACATAACTACACTGCAAGCAAATCGTATGAAATAAAAGCAGCAACCAAAACTTTTTCCTTTTTTTAGTTAAAATTTTACCAATAGATCGTAGATTTAGCTAATTGATCGAATGATATGTAAACCAAAATATCAGCTAGTAATTATAAACATGAAACGAAATATCAGAAATTGTTATTGCCAGATTGGACACCATCTAACATTATATAATTTCTTGGGTTGTTGAGTCTAAATGGTCACCAAGGAAAATACATATTAAGTTATAAAATCGAATTATATTTCCTTAAGTTTTATTACAATATCTCAAATTTTGGTATTTAAAGATTAATTAGATATATATTAAAGCCGAATTGACTGAAATCATTAAATGCTACTAAACATTCTTTTTTAAACTGAACTGATTTCAGCATAGGTTTTTGATAATCAGAGTTAGAAAAACTATCTTGGAATAAATTGGTACACAATGATAAAAAGGAAAATGATTTTACCTCCTGCTCCTCCTGCTCCGGTAAACCTGATGGAATCATAACCTGACAACCATCTCCACTGACCGAGTAGGCAGCCAAAGAGACATTCACATTACAACAGTCTCCACTGAAAATATTTGTAACAAAAAAGTTGAGAAATCATTGCTAACAAAGTATGCCAGCAACTGCGAAAATATATATTAATGTGTAACAAACCAAGCACATAAACATGATAATAAAAGATGCATTTACGTAGCTTGGGAATTAGACCAGTGTTGTTTTTCTTGAGTTTGTCTCTTCATTGCGTGTTTTTCCTTGCAATAACGTGCAATGTTAGATTATATTATTTTCCCTGTCCCCTCTTTGGTTCGATTGTAATCACATTGAGGTTGGTAATTTGTGGTTTTGACACGGTGTTTCTGATTGTATCAGCAGCGGGTCAATATTAACTTAATGACGTCATTTCAATTGAAACGTCACAATGCTCTCCGCCATAAACGGTACTTTCTTCTGTACAATTTGCCCATCTTGTTGCATTATTTAAAGATTATTTATCATCTCATATATCAATTGAAGTCTTCTATTTCGGTGAATATTATACAACTATGGACTTCAGGTAAGGTCTGTCCCTGATTTACGAACCTGGTCTGAACTATATTCACAGAGGCCGAAGGCCGAGGTGAATATTGTTCAGACCAGCTCCCTAAATCAGGGATAGACCTAGACTGAAGTCAACAATAGTTTTATTATATGACATTTTACAATGAGATTAATAACTTTTCAAGTCATAAACACATGGAGGGCATGGACCATTTTGGAATCACAGAGTGAAGGACTTCAAATATAAAATAGCATAAACACAAACTTAATTTCAGATTCAATTTATGTGATATTTATTTCAAATAAATATTATTTGCACAATCAATATTCACATAGTTCAAAAATTGATGAGATAATTAATTTGTAATTGAATTCTGTAATGTGATTGGTAACAGAATCACAAACTTGCTGGGAAGTTACCTAGGCCTATTTTTAATAGCGGTCTGTTACACTTTTCTATTTATAGGTCGAGGTCTGTAACACTTTTCTATTCATAGACCGAGGTCTGCAACAGATGATTTGATTGCAATTGGCTGTTAATCGATGGCTGGGAAATTGCCTAGGCCTATTTTCAGTAGCGGTCTGTAACACTTTTTTATTTATAGGTCGAGGTCTGTAACACTTTTCTACTCATAGAACAAGGTCTGTAACATATTTACAGACTCGTCACATGACGTCGCTACTCCAATCAGGGCTGGGAATTAGCACCAGTCATATAATAAGGGGTTGTATGGATCTGAGAAAGTGATATTCACCTAAGCGAAAGTATTTAATTGATAATTAGTTGCTGGATCGACTTTATGCTCTTAATGAGAAATCATCTCTGTTTTGTAATTTGTTAAATCCTAAATTCTTTTTGAGCAATACGCATTAGTGCTTTTTCATATTATTATAGTTCTGCTCTATAACTTTCATTCAAAAGTGGGTAGCGAATACTTGATATCATATCTATGTCACTGGAATTGATTTGTGGCAGATTGTAATTGTATAAATTATTACTATCGCCCTCTAGCTTTAAGCTGACGGGAATTTCCCTTTAAGAGGTAGATCATCCAGCTAGGAAATCTGGGAAAGCATGTTCGATCCCCGGTGGAAGCACACTACTCTCTAACCTGTTACAAATGGTGTCTGTTGCCCGTCCTTAGGTGACAGGGAGTTAGTACTACGATTATTGTGGTGTTCGAGCGCGAACATATTTCAAACGGGGGTATTGTCCACAGGTTTACGGTTGCCTTCTAGTTTGGGATAGAGGGATTTTCCCTTTGAGTTAATCATAAGAGTGGCGGACTTGGAAGCCAGTTAGTAGTCACTAAATGAAAACTGTTACATAGTTATCTACCTTATGTACAGACGTGTATTGTCTGTGCTATGGTCAGACATAGATACTCCGGTGGTCACTACAAACATGGACACATCAAAGTTGAACACTGCCGTGGCTGTCCACTGGTAGGCCGAACATGAGGAATTCACATTTCCACACCCATACGAGGTTGTGGTTGTCGTACAGAGAGTGCCGACTAACTGAAACAGGACATATTTATAAATAAACGTTTGTTAATATTCATTAAAAAAATCCAAAGCCGAAAATCAACATAAGTTGGATCTTATAGACATTTTTTTCGAATAAATAAGAAATGAAATGAATTTGTAACAATTTTCGGAAAGCATAATCCTTCATAACGTTTGGAGGAGTTGTGAGCAAATATGAACATCTGGTAAATAGTGATACAAATCGGTCAGGTGCTGTAGCTGCAATACTATTTACCTTGTTTCTTTATGATTATTGCAATGACATATAAGTGTAAATAGGTAGGCAGCACTATGCTTGTGTTAGCACGAAGACGTTGCCTACCTGTAGTGTATAAGACCGTGATTGTAGTGTGGTAAACGTTCCATTGTCACTGACGGCTACAGCGTAGGATCTGTAATAATAATTATCAATTTAAATATAACTATAATAATGGTTCTAGATTCTTATATACAACCACCTAGTTCGTAGGTCGTCTCAAAACGGTTCACAAATTAGTAGCCGTGGTTAAAGCGCCTTCGCATCACGCCAATTTCTTTCTTAAATCCCTGGGAAGCATACAACCGGTGCTGCCATTTCGGCGCTCACAGCTAGCATTCAACAATTCTAGCACTGCCCAACCACGTACTCATTTACAACTGAGTAGACTGGAACAAGCCTACAAGCAGAGTTAAGTATCTTGTTTACGGATACAACACAGTACCGTGCCGTGACTCGAACCCGCAACCATTCGGTCACGAGCCCGGCGCCCTACCACTAGATCACCATGCCTCCGAATATTTATACATTGACATGAATCAGGTTGAAAATTAATCTTTTGAAACCAGAACAGAATTTTCATTTCATCTTTTCGTAAGCTTATATTAAAAAAAAAATGTATGATGTCGCAAATACCATTATTTGCATCAAATGTTGATATATTATAAAGTATATCTGGACACACATAATAAAGTAGGGTAAGCTTGATGTTAAAGAAACGAAATCTTGTATCTTGTATATGTTTCAAAATAAAAGGATTGTGATACATTATTAAATCAGCTTTTTTGGAATATAAACATAACCAGCCATAGACTATTTAAACAAAAGTGTTAGTAAGTCAATATCTATGGAATAACATATCTTATCTGAGGGACATTTTGAAAACAACATTTTTTCAACACTCACTTTAATTTGTTAGAATACATACAAAGAGTCGATGTCAGAAGTAGTTGTGATATCAAATGTATCGTCAATCGTTTCGAACGCCATCGTGGTGTGGACCCTTGTAATAGAGGACGTCACTGAGCTCGACATCGTGACGTCATATATCTTTGTTATTGCAGCGTTATTGGTCAACGAGTATGTAATGTTTTCAGTTGAGCCAATCAGACCTGTAATACACCAATCAAAAAATAGTACTCTAGGCTAGAACACTTGCGATATCATACATACTGTTTAACAACTTTTGGCAACATATCTGCTAGTTAATTCTGACCTATCCTTCCCTCCCCCCACACACACCCTCACACCCCTCCCCTCCCCCCCCACACACCCTCACACCCCTCCCCTCCCCCTATGTATTCACTCACATCAAAAGCATATGTTTCACACTGAGCAAACAGTATAAGATCATTGGTTGTGTATTTATAGATATATATTTATTAATTATCTTTGTATATTTTGTAAAATATCAACGCATTTGGGAAATATAAGATACATTTTAAGCATTGTCCATAAACAACGGAAAATGAAAATAATACAAAACTACAATCAAATATAAGGTAAATTAAAGAGGAAGTCAAATAAACTAAATAGAAAACAAAATTCCTCACAAAATGACACACCAGGCGAAAACGTTGATCAATAGCACAACCGGAAATGTAGCATATTTGAGACGAAAACAGTCACAACCACCAAAAACCAACAAGTGTTACTTTTACCGCAGGCTGGCCAGTAAGTAGTAACAAAGCTAACAATGCTATCTATTAAACAATGACACTGGTGCCCTTAGACATATTAAGATAATCAGGAGTTATCTAGTGATGACTATGTATGGTATACTTATATTGCCTGTAACTTACCAAGGACTGGGTGAACAACAAGGTCGACACTGACCGGGATCACCTGTTTCCAAGACATTCGCGTAAATTGCGACCCACTTGAATCGAATCCTACCCAACGTACGTAGAACGTCTACAATAAAAATGTTTCATGTCAAGTTTACTGAAATTAAAGTTTTCATTGGGTGCCTGTGTATTAAATACGCAACGATTATCCAGAATGGGTTAATTTGGGGGTGGGGTGTGGGGTGTGGGGTGTG